GAGTGATATGTGCATAACCCTGTCACTGGTCTCGGACATTATTTCTAAATTAGATTCCCATAAGGTAAGCAGAGGTGACAGATCACAGCTGTTGTTCTAAAAAAATGTGCTTCTGAGCTGGCTCCAGTCTCTCCAAGCTCTACAACTATTGCCTCGATACTTCCTGCTTGTTGGAAGTCCTCCTCTGTAGTTCCTGTTTTTAAGAATTCTGGAGAACCTTCTGACCTCTTTAACTATCGTACTATTAGTCTCCTACCACTTTTTGGTAAAGTTTTTGATGTTGAAGTGGTTAAGCATCTTACCTCTCACAACCTACTCTCTGACAAACAATATGGCTTCTTAGTCTCCTACTACTTTTTGGTAAAGTTTTTGATGTTGAAGTGGTTAAGCATCTTACCTCTCACTACCTACTCTCTAACAAACAATATGGCTTCTTAGTCTCCTACTACTTTTCGGTAAAGTTTTTGACGTTGAAGTGGTTAAGCATCTTACCTCTCACAAACTACTCTCTGACAAACAATATGGCTTCTGTTTTGCCAGATCTACTGCTAATTTGCTAATGACTATCACTGAATATGGATATCAACATCTTGATAATAGCAGTGAAGCTTGAGATGTGGCTCTGGATATCTTGAAAGCATTTGACAGGGTTTGGCATGCTGGTCTTCTGTGCAAGCTCCAGGGCTATGGTATTACAGGATGATTTTTTGATTTAATCCACCCATTCCTATCAAATCATGAAATAAGGATCGTTTTGAATGGATTCACTTCCAGATTCTTTCGCATGAATACAGGTGTCTCCCAAGGCTTAATTCTGGGTTCTACACTGTTTCTGATCTTCATCAATGATCTTCCTTATGTCATCAGCTCCCAGGTAGGCATTTATGCACAAAGGTCCATGTTTGCCAAAAAGCATTCTTAAAAATTGCATTCTAGAAAGCTATTCTTCATAGTTCACATAGATTACTCATAAAGTTGTGTGGTTGTAGATTATGATGGATGTTCTTTCAACCTATTTAGTCTCCTACTGCTTTTGACAAAGTATTCAAGGCTTTAATCAATGCTGAAGTGGTTAAACATCATACCTCTCACAACCTACTCTCTGACAAACAATATGGCTTTCATTTTGCAAGATCTACTGCTGATGTGCTAATGGCCATCACTAAATATGTATATCAAGCTCTTGATAATAATGGCAAAGCTTGAGCTGGGGCTCTAGATATCTCAAAGGCATTTGACACACTAGTTTTGCGATTTTAAAGTAAAGTATACAATATGAAAACATATGAACAGAGATATATAAACAAATGAATATTAATAATAGTAGCAACACAGCTCTCATTTGTTGACTGCTGGAAAATTACTCACATATATAAAACAATGCAAATACATAACTCTCGATAAGTAGTTGCATTTAGCTTTATAATCATGTTAACACAATTATTTCTGTTGTGTTGTGGTCAGAGATGTGGTAAGCATTCTTGCTGGTTGAACTTGTCTTGAGTGTTACCTATCTACACTCCCACTCAGACCATGCATGTGGATCTATAGTGGCATAGAGTTTAGGGGTTAAAATGAACAGTTGATTTACCCATGCCAACAAGATTACTGCAGGATGGTAAAGACGGAAACACATGGGGTGAAACCTTGTTGGCGAAGAATTTTGTAACTCTTTCAACTTGAACGAAAACAAATATTCAATAATAAAAATTTATTTAAATTTGTAGAGCTGTGTTTGTAGATTATTTCTTTTCTTCACTTTTTGCACTACATATACATGGAGATTATCAGCGTCTGTGTATACAGGAAAAACCAACAGTCAAGGCTTGTTTTTGTCATTGTCCGTTTATACTCAGATCAAAGAAGTCAAACCAAATGATAACAAATTTAGTACAGGAGATAATGAAATTGACTATAGAATAGGCTATAATGGGTTAGTTTCACACATTACCACAAGTTGCTATAAAACCAAACCATTAACCTAAAATCTAGAGTTATGTTATAAATAGCTTTACCAGATCTAGATTATTGTATGGATGCCATGCATAGCATCAAATGACTCCAGAAATATCTAAGCTGCCAGTTATATGCAACTGTTTTTACAGGTAATGATTAAAAATGGCTTCAAGCAAACAAATCCTGTAGGTCTTATAGGAGACTATCTTTTGTCAGATTTTATAGACTGGTGCTACACAATCATGAACAAAGAACTTTACCAAATAGCAGAAAACACATCAACAGATACCTAAGAGTTTTAGTTATTCTACAAGTGCACCTTGAAGTAAAAACAAAAAAAAATGTTGAGGGACACTGCCCTATTGTATTGTTAAATATTTGAGCTTAACAACTTTAAGATTTGATACATAGGGTGCGGCAGAAATACCCCCACATAATGGTAAGACAGATTAAAACACTATTGTCAGTAATGTCTTACCATTTTATGGGAGGTATTTCTGCCACACCATGTATTTTAATCAATGGCAATCCTAACTGTTCAGTCCATGAATGTTTTCTTTATTTATTTTATAATTACTCGGGCCCAAGAGCCACTCAAGGTAGAGACTAAATGAGAATGTTGTACGAATGTAAGAAGAGGAGGTAAGGAGTGCAGATTATGAGGATATTTTGGAAAGATGATGGTTGACCCATGACATTTTAGAATCGAGAATAGTTCTGAATTGCCTGTTGAGGTAGTTTGGATGCTGTCTGCCATGATGGTCAGAGATGTGGTAAGCATTCTTGCTGGTTGAACTAAGTGTTACCTATCTACACTCCCACTCAGACCATGCATGTGGATCTATAGTGGCATGGAGTTTAGGGGTTAAAATGAACAGTTGATTTACCCACGCCAACAAGATTACTGGAGGATGGTAAAGATGGAAATGCACAGGTAATTTTAACAAAACAATATATTTACAAATTTACACACTTGAAGTTGTGTTACATAGCTCCCTCATACTGGAGAGGTCTTTTGGTTGATGGGGTCGATTCCATAACGTATCTTTTGCCATTCATCTTTTCCCGGCCAGGTGTCGAAAAGTTTTGGGACTCTGGAGATGAAAGAGAACTTCAACAAAAGGGATTTTAAACTTATCTATTTTGTTAAACATGTCGACATGTACATTTTTAATTAGCCAGTGGGGTCACTGGGGAGCAAGTTCTCTGAGACACAAAATAACCACATCTACTGTTTATGATGTGTAAAAACTTAACACTCTGAAATCACTTTCTATTTCTCTAACATTTCCATGCTAGTTTTAACCAATCAAAAATGACTTCCTTTGTTTTGTCTACCATCTGACCTTAAAAGTCAACCTCAGAAGGTCTGAGTGAAAATACACTGCCACTAAAAATAATAGTCTGAAACTATTATCTAACAATTGTGTCAGTAGCTCGTTTCAGGAAAATAAATCAGAAATTTATGAAGTCCATAGTTTTAATGAATTGTCACGAAGAGGAAATGTTCATACAATGGATTAAATGATATGACACTAAATCATATTCAAAAATGTTTAAAACAAAGATAAGAGAGTTGCTCACCAAAGGTATATATGGTTGCATACTTTCAAAAGTAGATAAAGAGAGATCGTTTTAAATACTTAGCTTTCTTGGATTGTTGAAAGAAAATTCTTTGAAATGCCACATGCTGGTTAAAATCTGATAATATAATTTGACACAGGTGAAAACTTCAATGCTGGATGCAATGAACAGAAACAAAACCTTTCATGTGATGTCAGACAGTCTTCTCTTAATTTAATTTTTATATCAAAAAGGAATTACGCATTGGCTCATGACTTTCTTTTTTTTTTTCTTCTTGGATCAACAGCTAATTTCTGTGGAGACAAGGTTTTCATTGGTCCCAAAACAATTTCACATAGGCTCATGAATTTATTTCCATCTTTTTTCTCAATCCTCTGAATTTGAAGGGAGTGGGTAAAAAAATTTACCAGCAATAAATTTTTGAAGGAAAACTTATTACCAGCAATACATTAGTACTAGCAATACATTTTGGGAAAAAGTATTACCAGCAATACATTTGGAGGGAGTATTACCAGCAATACATTTTTTGGGGGAAAAGTAATACCAGCAATACAATTTTTGGGGAAAAAAGTATTACCAGCAATACATTTTTTGGGGAAAAAAAGTATTACCAGCAATACATTTTTTTGGGGGAAAAAACTATTACCAGCAATACATTTTTTTGGGGAAAAAAACTATTGCCAGCAATACATATTTTTTGGGGGAAAAAAAACTATTACCAGCAATACATATTTTTTGGGGGAAAAAAGTATTACCAGCAATACATATTTTTTTTGGGGGAAAAGTATTACCAGCAATACATTGGGGGGGGGGGGGTATTACCAGCAATACATTTTTTGTGAAAAAAAAGTATTACCAGCAATACATTTTTTGGAAAAAATATTAGCAGCTGTACTTTTTGGGAAAAACTATTACCTGCAATAGATTTTTGAAGGAACAATATTACCAGTAATAAAAATTTTGTTGACATTAAATGACGTTAAATATATATGACGTAAAATCAAACCAAACCAAAGCAATATGGGGTTACGTGAAAAGCTGAGATAGGAACCCGTTTTATGTTTATAAAACAACAATGATTTTTTTTCTATATTTAATCTTATCAACAATATAAAAAGTTCATTTTGATAATTGTCTGACTACCAGTTACAGTTTTTGCACTAAGTTTTTTGATTTTAAAAATCATTTCTTGCAGATCTTATTTTTTAACTGATTTCTTTACTAACAAATGGACATTAGTCATTTTCTGATTAATAAATGAAACAGTTATCATTTTTGTTTTTTTTCTTTTTTTTCTTTCTTATAGGGACTGGTTCTTAGTCAAATGTTTACTTGTACTTATTTTGCTAGATTAAAAGAAAAAGTTATTTTGTTATTAATGTTATCACAAAAACATGGAAAGCTAATCCATTGAACAAAGTTTATTTCTTATGCCTAAAAAATTGTATTCATCTTTGCAGTTTTATGTATGTGGTATTAGTGGTCAAACCAAAGAGAGGCTGGACAATATTGGAGATTGTAAGAATTGGGAT